TAAACAGAGGAGTCGAGGACAAAGGGTCTTGGAGATGTCTCATCCAAGGGTTGCCATGGGTCAAGATCAACTCCGAGGGCAGTTAACAAATGTGTTAGAGATCTGGCTAAATCATCTGACGTATAGGTCTTGGATCTCTTACTAGTCAACAGCAGCCTCCTCCTCCTTTCTTCTCCTTAGGGTGCAGAAAAAAAGAAATACCTGTTGAACTCCTGCCTGCCTAGCAACCCTTACACTGAAGGGCAAAGAGAAGGAAAGGTTTTTTTGTTGTTGTGTACCTTAAGTTGCTTCTGATTTATGGCGACCCCTGGGGTTTTCTTGGTAAGATTTCTTCAGAAGGGGTTTGGTATTGCCTCTCGGAGGCTGAGAGAGTGTGACTTGCCCAAGGTGGTTTTCCTTGTCCAAACCCTAGTCTACAATGCTCGAACCCCTACGCCACGCTGGATCTCTGCAGCAATAATCCAGTTTGGCACCACTTTAGTGGTCATGGCTGAATGCTATGTATCCTGGGAATTGTCATTTAGCTCTCTGAAAGAGAAGGCTAAATGTCTCACGATACTACAGATCCCAGAATCCCCTAACATAGGTCCAAACACACTGCAGGAATATTCCAGTCTGAGACCCCTTTAATGCTAGGGAATTCTGGGATCCATAGTTTTGTGAGACATTTAGCCTTTTCTGTCTGGTGCCACAATAAACTACAGTTCCCATGATTCCCTAACACTGAGCCAGGGCAGTTAAAGTGGTCTCTAATTGGTTTATTTCTGCAGTGTGTTTTGGACCAATGTAGGAAATTCTGGGAACTGTAGTTTGTTGGGGCACCAGAGCCAAGCATAGAGCCAGGGCAGTTAAAGTGCCAAAACACGCTGCAGAAATAATCCAGTTTGAGACCGCTTTAACTGCCTTGGCTGGCTGCTATGGAATCATGGGAACTGTAGTTTATTGTGGCACCAGACAGAGAAGGCTAAATGTCTTACAAAACTACAGTTCCCAGAATTCAGTAACACAACGGTCCATGGCAGTTAAAGCGGCCTCAAACTGGATTTATTATTTCTGCAGTGTGCTTTGTGGCACTTTTAACTGCCATGGGTGGCTCTACGTCTGGCTCTGGTGCCCCCAGCAAACTACAGTTCCCAGAATTCCCCAGCATGAAGCCCAGTGATTGGGAATCTTGGGAACTGTAGTTCTGAGAGACATTTAGACTTCTCTGTCAGAGAGCTCTGGCGTCACAGTAAACTACGTTTTCCAGGACTGCCTAGCACTGAGGTCAGGGCGGTTAAAGCGGTCTAAAACCGGATTGTTTCTGCAGTGTGGAGGCAGCCCCAGACTGCGCTCAGTGAGTCCAAATCCTGTCATGCTCTTTCCCCTCAGAGAGCCCCAGGGAGCCAAGCCGAGACGGGCCTCACCTTCTCCATAATGCCGCTCATGGCGGCGGCGAACCGCGCGCGGCTCCGCTTCAACCGACGCTCCATAATGGCGGCGCTCCCGCTACTTCCTCGGGCATTCAGAGCCTCCTTGCGCCCCGGCTCCCCCCATCTCTCGGGCCGACTTGGTTCCTTCCGTGCGCGCCCCTCCTAAGGGGCGTCATTGGTCGCTTCCGTCACTCAGAGCAACGCTAACAAACCCAAAGCAGGGAGCCAACTTCTTTGTCCTCCTCCTCCTCCTCCTCATCCTTCTCACACGATTCAAATCTGGCGCTCCCCCAATCACTACCGTTCCGTAGTCTGATAGGTGGCCGCTCACGTCGTTTTACGCAGAGCGTCCAATCAGCGGAAAGGAAGGGCGGGATCTTTTCATTCCATTGGATGCTTTCCCTAAACCTCGGTTCCCGCCTCACTAACAAAGCCGTTTGACAGCCGTCTAACCGCCATAGCTCAAGGCTGAGGGATTCTGGGATTTGTAGTTTTGTGGGATATTGATACTCCCCTGTCAGAGAGAACTGCTGCTGCCTCCCCCACCAAACTACAAATCCCAGCTTTCCATAGCACTAAGCCGAGGTAGTTAAAAGTGGTGTGCAACAACCTTAATAACCCACACTAGTGGAGGATGTGTTTGGTTGTTGTACCATTTGTGGCTCATGGTGACCCTGCTGCAGTGTTTTTCTTGGCAGGTTTTGTTGAGGCTGACCAAAATTCGAATCCTGGCTCAGCCATAGAAGCCCACTTGATCATGTCACACTCTCTCAGCCTCAGAGGATGGCAATATCAATAAACATTTTGCTAAAATTAGTGTCAGAATCAGAAATGATGAATTAAAAATACAGATGAAGCTGTATGGCACTGAAACCAATCTGCTAATTGTTGTCGTGTGCCTCTGAGTCATTTTTGACTTATGGTGACCTGAAGGCGAACCTATAGTAGGGTTTTCTTGCCAAGTTTCTTAGAAGAGGTTTGCCATTGCCACCCTCTGAGGCTGAGAGAGTGTGACTTTCCCACTAAGGTCACCCAGTGGGCTTTTATGCTTAAACCGGGAATCGAACCCTGATCTCTATAGTCCAAAGCCCAAACCACTACTCAAATGGTTTACATTATACAAGTAAAATGTAAGTGGGAAACAATAAATTATATCATGCCATGTACAGTGATGGTGCTCTAATAATAATAATAATAATAATAATAATAATAATAATAATAATAATGATGTTAGATTAGATATAGCCCTTAAGGAAGGATTCTTTCTTCAAAATATACCACAACTGAGCCAGTAATAATAAGAAAATAATAACAATAACTAACATTTATAGAGTTAAATCACAGGTGATTATTGACACTAAAAACACATTTTCCTTTCTCCTTGACTTGTTACTTCTTCCTGTTTGCTTTATTCTTTCTTCAAGCCTTGCTGTGGATAAACCCATCAAAAGTTGTGTGTGTGTGTGTGTGTGTATGCCTTCAAGTCCCTTGTCAACTTTGCAGGGTTTTCTTAGGCAAGGAATATTCAGAGGCGGATTTGCCAGTTCCTTCGTCTGAAATATAGCCTACAGCACCTTGTATTCCTTGATGGTCCCCCATCCAAATACTAACCAGGGTTGACCCTGCTTACTTCTGGTGACCCCATTCATTTGGCAGGTTTTTTATTAGGCAAGGAATACCTTGATCTCTCATTAGGAAAAGGAGGAATAGAAATATATTATTATTATTATTATTATTATTATTATTATTATTATTATTATTATTATTATTACTCAGAGGCAAATTTGCCAGTGCCTTTTTCTGAAATATAGCCTACAGGACCTGATATTTGTCAGCAGTCTCCCATCCAAATATGAGGGGTTGCTGAAAAGTTCTCAGCCCAACACATTTCCCATTATCGGTGTAATTTTGTCACTGTAGCTTGAAAAAAAATGTTCTTTTGTAGTGTAAATGGCTAATTTGCAGGATCACAGCTCTAATATATATAAATTAGAGCTGTGATATATATAATCCCGATAATCGATAGATAATCGATAGAAAAGTGTGAAATTTTCAAGTGCTGAACTCTGGGCTATCGCGAAGATCCTGTTCTTGCCAAAGAAAATGCCGAAGGAAATCCATGGATCTACAACACAAATATTGAACAACAAAGGTCCATCCGAATCAACTGTGAAGAAGTTGTGTGTGTGCCATCTTTCAGCGTGGAGATTTTGGGATTGAAGATGCAACAAGGTCTAGGAGGCCTTCAACAGTGTCAGCTCTTGAAACTGTTGAGAGCTTGTTTGTGACTTGATTTTGGCAGATTGGCATATCTCAACTACAGTGGTACCTCGACATACGAGTGCCCTGATATACGAGTGTTTTGAGATAACGAGCCGCCAAGCGAGCAATATTTTGCTTTGAGATGAGAGCAAGATTTGAGGTACGAGGAATCGCACACTACACCGCTGCACACGACCCCAACAATGGGGAAAATTGATTTGAGATACGAGCAATTTGACATACGAGCAAGGTTACGGAACAAATTAAACTCGTATGTCAAGGTACCACTGTAAAACAATTGCTGAGACACGAGCGATACCCAAGGAACACATTGGTTTTCTCGTTCAGAATGAGTGGCTCCCTCTTTAGCTGCATCCGCACTGCAGAAATATTCCAGTTTGACACTACTTTAATGGCTATGGATCAGTCTCATGGGATTATGGGAACTGCAATTTGTTGTGGCATCAGAGCTCTCTGACAAAGAAGGCTAAACCATTCAAGCTTTACATCTGTGTCCTACTGCTTCCCCTAAACAAGGCCATTTTTTATTGCACTTAAGAAACCAGGCTGCTGCTTATGTCACATGCTTGAAGAAAATGCTAAAAGCTGTTATCATGATGATGAAACCCTGAAAGAGAGAGAGAGAGAAAGTTATTAATTAGCCTTAGGGAACTATAGCAGATACTTGTGAAATCAAAGACTAATGTTGCCTTGGTTTTGTCATGTGGCCTCGGCTCACTGAAAAGACATAATAACCAAGACAGAAATGTAGCAAGCCTATCCTAGCCAAAAAACAACAACCCTAATATTGTATGGTCAGGGTGACCAGAAATCCTAAACACAAAGGAGAGCAAAGTCCCAAACACACTGCAGAAATAATCCAGTTTGAGACTGCTTTAAACTGCCCTGGCGCAATGCTAGGGAATATGGGGAACTGTAGTTTTGTGAGACATTTAGCCTTCTCTCTCGGAGAGCTCTGATGTCACAACAAACTACAATTCCCAGGATTTCCTAGCATTGAGCCAGGGCAGTTAAAGCGGTCTCAAACTGGATTATTTCTACAGTGTGTTTTGGACCTAAGGCACTGCAAAACGCAAGACAGTCAAGAAAAATAAAGGCTACAAATGCTAATATTAATATAAATGCATGCCTCAGTCATGCTCAAAATGGAGGGCATTTTGGAATTCCTCCTGAACAGAAGTTTGAGATACACAACAAGGCGAACAGGGTGTCTGTCCACCTTGTTGTGTATAATTTAAGGGTTGCACATCCACATTATAAAACCATTGTTCAGTTATTTTTGCCTCTCTCTAAAAATGTTTGAGAGCCAGCATGGTGTAGTGGTCTGAGCACTGCACTATGATTCTGGACATCAGGGTTCAATTCCCTGTTCGGCCGTGGAAACTCCACTGATTGATCTTGGGTGAGTCACAGACTCTCAGCCCCAGAATACCCCATGATAAGGTTGCCATAAGGCAGAAATGTCTTGAAGGAAGACAACAATAACAATAACAATGTTTGCAATAGAGATAGTCCTTTCCCCTTCCTTGGGACGAGACTGCAAACCTTTGATCAAAGAAATAATTGTGTGTGAGAGTAATGCATATTTCTGGCAGAAAGGACTTTTTCCTAGCTCTGCAGGAAAGGGGTGGCAATCTGACCTTTCAGATTTGATCAATAGCCCGGCTTTGGTCCAAAACACACTGCAGAAATAATCCAGTTTGAGACCACTTTAACTATCCTGGATCAGTGATAGGTAATCTTGGGAATTGTAGTTTATTGTGTCACCAGAGGTCTATGACAGAGAAGGCTCGATGTCTCACAAAACTACAGTTCCCAAAAATCCCTAGTATTGAGCCAGGGCAGTTAAAGCAGTCTCAAACTGGATTATTTTTGCAGTGTGTTTTGGACCTTAGCTTCCAATATCAGAATGAATCAGGTGCCTTTAGGGTATTTTCCCATAATGACCATGGAAGATGGGAACCATGGAAATAAAATGTAGTAAAAAGAGGTGGGCGGGCGGAAGAGTATTCTACATGGCAGTCTGTGTAGTTCCACAGAGAAAGTAACTTCTGTTTCTCAATGGCCAACACAGAGGAAAAATAGAGCATGACGTTCCTTGTACCTATAATGCCAAAGTAATTTTTTAAATACAAGGCTATTGTAGGAGATAAAATAATGTAAAAGAAACTACAAAGGTCATGGCTAATTCGGGGCTGGATTGGATGACCCTTGGGGTCTCATTTTCTATGTTTAAAACTGTGCATTTGCAGAGCAGTTGGTAAAAGGCTTTCAGTTCACCTTCACTGGAAAAGATAGCAAGGAATGTTGTTTTTCGACCTTGAAGACAGGCAGACTGTTTTGCAGCCAAAGAGATAACATTGATGATGAACTGGGAGTAAAGGAAGAAAGCCAAAGTTGTTCACACATGGCAAGTAGAAGTGTAACGTAATTAGGAAAGGAGGGGGTTGGAATTATATTTTGTAACCAATGAAAATGTTGAATTATGCATGTGTTAATGTAATTATAAACTAGCTGTGTAAGATGGTATATAAGGATGATGATTAGCTGTGGGAAGGGCTCTCAAATCTCATATGACAAAACTATCTAAGAGGCCTGTCGACGTAAAATAAACTTTGCTTTCCTGAATAGGCCAAGGGTCTCCGTTCCTGTTTTTTACCCACACTATCTTTATTGGTGAAAGTATACCAGAACAATATGTGCCATCATCCAGAAGTTTTTCAGAACCTGATGCGTTCTTAAACCCTTTGCAATGTCTTTATCCAAGTAATTGTCATATGAAAATGTGGTTACTGGCTCATTCTGTGTCTTACAAAACAGGAGAAGCTGTTCAACAAACAAGGGTGGACACTTAGGATTGGATTTCTGCAGATTGTCAGTTCTTCCATCACATGAAGAAGATTTTTGTCATGCAATTGCCCTGTTGTGTGGATGGTGAGTATAGATGACAACATTTCCAGTGTTTTTGTCCAACTTTTAAAATCTTTTTTGCCCCCCCTCCCCAAAAAAAAATAACCAACATAAAGACAGAATAGCTCCAATATAACATTTGATTGGTAGCACTAGGAATTGTCTGGTTGAAAGCAATTGGAACAAGAGAAGAAAATGGCAATCCATTCATTGGAAATGTTGGCTGATATACAGAAATTCAACCTATGTTTTGCCAATTTGCTTTTCTATCCAGTGCTGATGTTTCTCTCCCTTTCCCCTTCTACTATACTAGTAATTTGTAATGATACAACATGTGCCTGTCAAAATAACATGCACATTCTTAAGTGATAACTCCAATGATTAGATCAACCTTAGAGAACAATAAATTTATTATTTACTGAGTTATGCTTATAACAACAATACAATCATGGGACTATTTAATACAAAGGTGAAGGAGCATTCTGCAGGGGACAAGGCCATCCTTCTTGCCTGTGCTAGCTGCCTTGCACTTGCTTCAAACAAAATATTGACATAAAAATATGAAAACATAAAAATGTGTATTTTTAGAACAATGCTAAAAAGGAGAATTACAGATACAGTATTCATTCTACAAAGGCTTCTAATATAACTTGCATTTTCCAGCCTAATACTGTAATTGGCAATCTGCTGCTATTGTAACCTGTGGAGCTTTGACCTGGAGTGTATTGATTTTGTTGTTGTATTGGAGTGTATTGATTTTGTTGTTTTACAAATTAGCATAGCAGAAGCACAAATTGGTTCAGGAACCAAGGATGCTAGGGGCAAAGATCTTCAAATTCATGCCTTCCCTCCATGTGGTTTTGATCTAACACATGTGCTTTGCTTGCCATTTGTTTTGCCAACAAAGCTTCCATGGAAATCTTATACTTCTCTACTCACAAATAAACACAACATACAAAACAATCCACTGTAGAGGTCAGTGGGACTTACTCCTGGGTAAGTGCATATAGGATTGTAGCTTCAGCCAGGTACTTACCTGGTATTGAAATTGTGATAGATCTATCTATCTATCTATCTATCTATCTATCTATCTATCTATCTATCTATCTATCTATCTATCTATCTATCTATCTATCACAATTTATATATTGCTCAAGGGTAAGTGTGTGCAGGATTGCTCCACCAATTTTTTCACTAAGCTTTACTTTGCATCAGTACTGATCCAAAGCACATCTGCTTGCTTTGAAAATGCCAGAGAATCTCTGCAGATGCGGCATTATCGTGCTGAAAAGTATATTCACTCCTCAAAGAGCGATATATGCTATAAAATAAATATAAAAATGTCATACACTGAACATCAGTGGTGTCTTGTCGGTTTGTCCTTTGGAAATCTCCCTGCATCTTCTCTGTCGTCTTTTTTTGGCACCAAGTGCAGCCCTTTCTTCCACCTGAGCTTTTTAGGATGATGCATTTATCTGGCATTAAATTCTATTGTTTTATCCTGTAGTACTACATATGTCTTTACTGATGCTATGTCGTTTTCAACACTTTGTAAACTGCCTATAAAAGTTGCATGTGTGAAAAGTTGTGTATACAACCTTAAACAAATAAGATTTTTTATCAGTTGACCATATCTCTTTCTCCTCCCTCCCTTTAGTTTTAAGGTCTTCTTCCTCTGACTGATTTAGGGAAGTTAAAAAATAACACAATTGCATTTCACTCAGTTACCTAGGTCACTAACAGAACTGTTGCTAGTCTGTATATTCTCTTTTCAATCAAAACTAACTTTTGAACTATAAAAACTTTGAAAATCCCAACACCTTTCTCACAAGGGATACACTTTAGCCACTTCTGCTGGTATGAAGTGGTATAAAATCACAATTCATTTGAATGGAATAGGCATTATGGCTAGAGAAAACTCCCATTTATTTAATCCCTTTGGTAACCTCCTTTCTGTACAATGGGTAATAATGTACGTATGTTGAATAAGCAGAACAGATGCTAATAATGTACGTATGTTGAATAAGCAGAACAATGAAAAAGTTCCTATCCATTATTCCATTTTGGGGGGCAAACTTGGGAAAGATTGATGGGATACAAAAAAGCAAACAGGGTTGAGGAGTGGACAGCTATAATGTCAGGCCTATTTTTAATATCAAGTGATACACCGTATACAATCACTCCCTTCTAACTGGATCCAAATACAGGTAATTACAAATGATAGGGTATAGTTTATGTACAACTAGACACAGAGATCAAGTGAATCTGAAGGAACAGTAACAGAGGTTAATAACTCTAGATCAGGGGTAGGCAACCTTTCCCCTTTAAGGGCCGAGGGACTTCAGCTCCCAGAAGCCTCAGCAATGTTGGCCAATAGTCCCATGTTGGCCAATAGCTCCTGGAATTCTGGGAGCTGAAGTCCCTCGGCCCTTAAAGCGGAAAGGTTGCCTACCCCTGCTCTAGATTATTAATAGATTATTAAAACCGAGAAATAAGAGGGAAAAGACCACAGGTTAATAACTGTGGACTTTTCCCTCTTATTTCTCGGTTTTAATAATCTATCAGAAGACTGGTTTGCATAAACTTCAGCTAATTGCAATAGAATTCCAGCACTTCTTAATAAGGACATGAAATGTGGTGTTGATTAGAGATTCTACCATCCAGGCCTTTGACCCTCTGCAAAATTTATCTAATAAATGAGTCCTTAGATCTGGGCCTGCCAAAAGGTAAAGCAAGGCTTCTTTTTATTTTATTTTATTGCTATGTTATTATCCCATTGTTCAGCATGACTTTTAATCAAAGTTCAGGCTTGTTGTATGCCTGTATTTCCCCACATATGATTATCAAATCTGTCATCACCTGATCATCAAACCTGTGAAAGTTAAGAGGTGGCTTGGGAATCCTTAATTTCAAATAGCATTATAAAGTTTGTCGTTGGGTTTTTGTTTTTGTTTTTTGAATGGTTGGTGGAATAGATATTGCTTAGAGATATGAGACTCTTGGAACCTGAAATCTGTAATCTAAAAAAAAAAAAATCTGGACATGGCTATCTTTGATATGATAAAGTCAATGCATATATTGAATTCAAAAATCATTGTATTATAAAGGCTGTTCTACAACAGTTTGGTGTAAGTATAAATGGAGACTTTTTACTAAGATAATTTTAGCCAACTCACAACAAGAAGCCTTTTAAAAAGAAAGAACGAGTTAAAATTTGGAGATGAGTGCTTTATGATGATCTTGTATACCTTGAGCAAGACAGCGGAAAGTTTAAATAGAAAGAGATAATTCTTAACTAAGGCAAAGATCTTAATTAGTAAGACTAGAAATGCAGCCATAGAAGTTAGAGAAAATTAGTTTTATTTAGAGTTGTTTAAAGATGATGACCATGTAATTTAAGAAGTGTATAAATAGTTTTTGAAATTAGACAGAAGATGAGCCTGTAAAAGAGTACATGATGAGGTGGG